AACGTCAATTCAGTCAGCTCTTCTATGCGGATCAGAAACTTGGTGGGCGGGTCACAAAGAATATTTCCAACAGCCTGTTGCAGACCTTTATCAATAACTTACTGTCTTCGCTCTATACTGAAGGTCAATCAGATGGCCGGAAAGAATCACCAACAAGAAACTACGGGAAGAAACAAAACAAGAACCAATCGCCAGCCAACAAATATGCAGGAGAAAGTAGAGATGGATTGGACACTCGCTCGCTGAGGAGGCCGCTGGGTGACATCGCGCGCGCGTCAGACCATTACTCGAGTGGAACCCGGAAGGGAAGCGGCGAGTGGGACGTCAGTGCGAGGGTGACATGGAGGAGATCGTGTGAGGTGGAGTTGAAACAATATGGACTGAAATAGATGCAGGTGAAAAGTACAGCAAATACCAATACCATGATTCAAACAAATTCACAAAATATCATGCCGGATCAGCCGTGGCCCGGATTAACAACGACCGCGCTTCCTGCTGCCGTGTCACAGGGCAGGAGTGATAAATATGCTACTGAGACACACCAAACAAAAAGAACAAAAAAAAACAGGCCGCGTGTGACCGGCCTCAAGCAGTTGTCCCCTGGGCTCTGCGGTCACGCAACCAACTTCCACGGTGTGGGCAGCCGGGAAGTAACAATCGCCCTCACAATCCGAAATGCACACAAAACCTCTCTAATCCTCACTTATCTTTGTCTTCATCTCTATTACCTTGCCTTCCTCCCACTGATGCAACTCCTCTACTTGATGGCTCCTCACTCCCTCTTCACTCTGTGTCCACTAAAAACGACGAAGCCAAAAAACCACCACGGATAGTCTCCTAAAGCCACGCCACCAATTTCATATAGGAGCATTTAATGTTAGGACACTTTGCCAAATAGGACAACAAGCATCACTAGCTAAGACCCTGGCATCCGAGCCATTGATGTATGTTGTGTTTCAGAAACACGCATACAAGACCCAAGTGTGGTTATTCACCTAACCCCACCTGGCCAACAGGATGAATCTTCAAAATTCACCTTGAGGGTGTCAGGAGATGCCACAGCTAGTTCACGAGGATTAGCTGGCGTAGGGATAGCTTGAGTACTAGGGCAGAAAAGACATTACTTGACTGGATCCCAGTAGATAGCCGAATGTGTGCTGTCCGTCTGAACGGATCAGTAAGAAGGAGAAAGGACTGCACTACTCGCCGATGCCTTTTCGTAATCTCCGCCTACGCCCCCACTGACTGCAGTTCGGATGAAACGAAGGATGAGTTCTACCAAAAGCTGTCTAGTTTGGTGAGAAAGGCTAAACGCTCAGATATAGTCGTTCTAGCTGGTGACTTTAATGCTCAAGTAGGGAAATTGTGTCAATCTGAGAAGGATGTCGGTGGCACCTATGGAGTTCCGTGCCAGCGAACCGACAACGGTGACCGTCTCCTACAGTTCTGTTCAGATAATCATTTGTTTCTTGTAAGCACTAACTTTAAACACAAGGAGAGACACTGTTTAACCTGGCGACCCCATCATCAAACCAACGCTGGACACAAATAGACCACATAGCAATAAGCTATCGTTGGCGTGGGTCGGTAGGAGATTGTCGCTCCTTCTGGAACACGTGTGTAGATACCGATCACGCACTGGTCCGCGCTCGTGTGTGCTTACGACTGAACGGACGTAGGAAACAGCTGGCGGTAAAACCATCACGTCCCCAGCTCGATCAGGAAACTAAATCCCTATTTGAGGAAGAACTAGCTAAACGCATATCTGAATTCGACAGCTGTGCTCACCCTGGAGAAGCCTGGAAGAATATTCAGTCAGCTATAGATACAGCTGTAAAAGCTGTGAATAAGGAAATCCAAAGGTGAGTAAAAACCACTGGATTTCGACTGCCTCATCCGAACTGATAGATGCTAGAAGACTTATTCCGGCGAGCTCCGAATTCAATGAGGAGCGAAAGCTGCACAAAAGGAAACTTACTAAAAGTCTCCGCAAGGACCGTGAACAGTGGTGGGTGACAAAGGCGAAAGAGATGGAAAAAGCATCGGCGATAGGCAACACTAGGCAACTCTTTAGACTCATCACAGAAACGGGCGAGAGAAGGCAATCATAAGTGAGACTATTTCTGAGAAAAATGGCTCCTTAATTAGCTCTCAGGATAGACGCCTTGAACGCTGGAAAGAACACTTTGAGGAACAATTTAACTTGCCTACAGCCACACTGAACCTCCCCGCCATCCACCACACCCGAATGGGATATAGACACTGGTCCGCCGTCTGTAGTGAGGTCACAAAAGCTATCAGTAATTTGAAACGAGGCAAAGCGGCAGGACCCGACGGAATTATTCCGGAGGTGTTTAAATATGGGGGTGACATACTAGTTTGTAGATTAACTGAGGTACTAGGCAAAGTCTGGGAATCAGAGACAGTACCATCAGACTGGGGTAAGTCACTTATTATACCGATATTCAAGAAGGGAAACAAGTCCTCGTGTGATAATCATAGGGGGATCAGCCTAACGAACATAGTCTCTAAAATCCTAGGCTCAGTAATCATGCATAGACTAAGCAGAACTCGGGAGGAACAGACAAGGGAAAATCAAGCAGGCTTTAGACCAGGTAGAGGGTGCATAGATCATATCTTCACTCTTCGACAGATTCTAGAACATAGACACACTTTTCGGCGTCCAACAATTGTCATATTTCTTGACTTGAAGGCGGCCTTCGACTCCGTGGATCGAAAGGTACTATGGCAATGTCTGACTGTGAAGGGAGTGCCAAGAAAGTACATTGCACTAATCAAGGCACTCTATTCAAACTCACGTAGTCGTGTAAGGGCTTATGGGGAATTGTCATCTGAATTGGTAACAACCAGTGGTGTCCGACAGGGATGTCCACTTTCCCCATTTCTGTTTAACTTCATCATAGATATGCTGATGGAAGTATCCTTAACTGAACGTAATGACTTAGGAATCGACTTGTTACCAGGGAATAGTCTTATGGACTTAGAATATGCAGATGACATAGTCCTGTTAGGGGAGGATGCTGACAAAATGCAGAGTCTTCTGAACACCTTGAGCAGCAATCTTCGTATGTTTGGCATGCGATTCGCCCCTGCAAAATGTAAGATGCTGCTACAGGACTGGACTACGTCAACTCCTAACTTAGTGATAGGGAGTGAAGTGATAGAACATGTTGACCACTTCACCTATTTGGGAAGTTGTATTAGCACCAACGGACTGATTGGCGATGAAATCTCAGCACGGATCCGAAAAGCTCGAGCTGCTTTCGCTGACTTACACCATCTCTGGCGTAGGCGTGACATCCGGTTATCAACCAAGGGACGTGTGTACTGCTCATCAGTTCGCTCCGTCCTTCTCTATGGCTCTGAAACATGGCCAATACGCGTTGAAGACATGAAAAGGTTGACTGCTTTCGATCATAGATGTCTGCGATCTCTGTCTCACGTTAGGTGGTTTAATAAGGTAAGTAATGTTGACGTTAGGCGTAGAGTGTTGGGCAAAGAGGGAAAATCAATCGACGAGGCTATAAAGTTACATAGACTAAGATGGCTAGGTCACGTGGTGCGCATGCCTAACCACCGCCTCCCCCGACGGGCATTACTAGCTGATATAGGTTCAGGTTGGAAAAGAGCCAGTGGTGGCCAAACAAAAACATGGCCTCATCAATCCATGAAATCCTTGACAGTTAAACTGAGTCAGGTAGGGAGATGCAGACTTCCGGGTTGGGGCCCTCGGGACTCTAGGAATCAATGGCTGGAGACAATAGGTGACATGGCTCAAAATCGTTGTCAATGGCGCAGATGTATTCAGTCTCTGTAATCTTTCATATTCCTTTCTACCATTACCCATTCTGTTTCACTCTTATACTTGTCAAACTCTATTGATTCTCTTCACTCATCTTCTTGTCTACCTCTGTGGGCTATTTGGAACGTGGCAACTCGAACTGCTGCACTTCAGTGGCAAGTTCTATGTTGAATCCAGACAGACAGCAAAATACAGATGCAAGTGGAGACGTGCAGTTGAAGCCCTACGTTCCACTAGGAAACCAAGGGAACAACAATAATAATCATTATTATTATTATCAGCAGTAACGACAAGCGTTCGTTGGATTCGTGTCTTTTAGAAGTTTTCGCTTGCTGTCAACTTCAATATAGAAAACACGACGAACAACACTCAACACTTTATAACGAGGGAAAGAAAGTAAAGAAAGCAACAAAAGGAAGAGGTAGAAGGGGTCCTCAGCTCTGGTAACAACAATAATCAACGTCCGACCACGGAGAATTCTCAAGATGCTGAAATGGACAAGACAAATATCAAAAGGACTTCAACCTACAGGACGTAACGGTCTTTTGCCACAAACGTGGCATCCAGCCGGAAAACCTTCAACGAGCTCGACTATTGAAGCTGAGGCGTAGACAGACAAGAGGAAACGCCTCACCTCCTTCCTGCGTTTCAAAAGGGGTTCTCAACCCTGGTAACAACAATAATCAACATCCACTCACAGAAAATTCTGAAGATGCTGACAGGAAGAAGACAAATATCAAAAGGACTTCAACTGATAGGTCTACTTCCAACAATCTAAGGTGGAGGGAGGTCTAGAGAAATAAATCGCCTCAAACTCCATCCTCTAGGAAAGAATAACAAGAATAAGGAAAACAGTACCAGGTACTTTTATTATTTGGTTGTTTTTTTAAGATAGCCAGATAGATGGACAGACACAGAGACGGGCCAAAGATAAGGTTGAAATTATAAACAAAGAGACTATTGGTTAAATCACTCAGTTAGGCAGTCAATCATTCGATCAGTTGAGTTAATTTCTTTACATGTACAATATACATATATACGGTTGGTTATATTTTACAAAGACTTTAGAGATTTTCGCATCATACAACATACGCACACACACATGCACACACAAATAGTGTCAGCGATCATAAAAGAGAAGAACTTTTAGCAAAAAAAGAGAAACCTGACAATTATTTTACAATTCATCTTTGGGAGTAGGAGTAGGAGCAGAAGTAGTAGTCTGAGAGACGCCTGCTTCATCATCATCAGCAGCAGCAGCAGGATGTGAAGGCGGAGAAGATGAAGAAGTCGGAGAGAGTATTGTAGTAGACGATAAATCATCATTATTAGAAATTAATTGAAAGCCCAATTGTAATGTGATCACAATATTATCAGGGTTATTGTTATTGTTGTTAGTAGTGGTGCCTTGATTATTCTTATCACTTGGTTGCGTCTCTTCTTGTTGTTTAATTGATTTTTCATTGAGATGAAGTAATTCACTTAAACAAGTATTGATTAATTGATAATATCTCCATGATATATAAATTGTTTGATTCATGTAATACGGTGAATCAGATGGGCATACTTTATGCAGACTGATTTGTAATACGGCTAACATAAAATGCTGACATTCAGTACTGCGAAAAAAAAAACAGAGAAAAAAATATTTTAAAAAACTTGATGAGTTAGGTGAACAACGCCTAAAGTAAAAAATAATAACACTTAACAGTAGAATTGATAAAGAACATTTCAGTATATTTGGAGACAGGATAATACGAGCTCGTTTGTCGATTCTATCTTCAACTGCCTACATCCTAAACGGAAAAGCAGTTATATAATGTTACAGAGTGGTGTCAGAACATGAACACACTATTTACATAGTGACTTCAAGTTTTAGACAGAAAGTATAGGTAGGCATATGACAGGACAAATAATTAAAAACTAGAGATGTCCTTTTATATATAAACATACAATTTTCTTTATTATACATGTTGATGCCTGTTTCGTAACTCATGAATGGACAAAGTTTCAAAAACAAGAGATGTCCTTTTCTGCACATAAAGCTCTGTTATGTTGATTTCGATTAATTTCCCTGAAGAAGTTCGGACCAGATTGCTGAACGAAACGTTGGAATTAATAATTTCAATTTCGCTGAGACTTTACAAATATAATTTTATTAATGTCTATTTCTCACTCGGCGCTGAATTATTTTGCAACTATCCGGTCAAATCTTGATCGCAGTTCATATGAATAAGCCACATAATTTCAGAGATGATGTGGTTAAACAATTAAGTATTCATTGTTAAAAGAGTAAATATACTACTTATATAGAAAGTAGTTGGACAAGGGGTGGGGTGTAGACTTCAGATTTCGTTCGGAAACAAGGATGGACTAGAGACAACATGCAAGATAGAACAAGAACAACACAGTGAATTCATACATATTCATTATGGTGGGGAGGTTAGGAGAGTGGTCAAAAGGTGAATAGTGAGGTGAAATCATTAAATAGGGAAAATAATTCTTTTTTTATTTTTTGATTTACAGCTTGATTCCACACTGTATTTTTGGTACAAGTATGGAATTTTCAGCATGGATATCGGTAGCCCAAATTTTGCAGGCCGACTATAGATATCAGGTGTGCGCCGGCGTGGGCTCGAACTCCGGACCATGTGCATGGTCGGCGAGAGTCCTAACCACTGTGCCACCGACGCACAATATTTTGTGGATCCCGACCGTTAATAGTGCGATTCGCTCCCGCCAAATGCAAGATGATGTTACAGGACTGGACTACATCGACGCCTAGTTTAAAAATAGGAAGTGAAGTGGTAGAGCACGTTGACCGCTTCACTTATTTGGGAAGTACCATCAGCCATTACCAACGGGTTGATCTCTGACGAAATCTCAGCACGAATACAGGGGGCTCGTTTCGCTTTTTCCAGTTTATGCCGACTCTGGCGTAGACGAGATGTTCGACTATCGACCAAAGGGCGGGTGTACTGCTCATCAGTCCGCTCCGTCCTCCTTTATGGTTGTGAGACCTGGCCACTGAGAGTGGAAGACATGAAAAGACTAGCTGCCTTTGATCATAGGTGCCTGCACTCTATTTCCCGTGTAAAGTGGCATAATAAGGTGAGCAACATGGAGGTTAGGCGTAGAGTTCTAGGTAAACAGGGGAAATCAATCGACGAAGTCGTGAAGCTACAAAGACTGAGATGGTTAGGACATGTGTTACGTATGCCAAGCCATCGCCTTCCTCGACGAGCAATGTTAGCGGATATAGGGTCAGGCTGGAAAAAAGCTAGCGGCGGTCAAACAAAAACTTGGCATCAGTCAATGAAATCCACAACAGTTGGTCTTAGCCACGTAGAAAGGTGTAGACTTCCAGGCTGGGGTCCTCGGGACGGCAAAAATCTATGGTTGGAAACAATTGGTGACATGGCTCAAAATCGTTCTCAGTGGCGCAGATGCATCCACTCCCTGTGACTTATGATCTTCAATGAAACTGTTTTGTATTTCTTTATTACTCCTTTGTCTCACACCTCTGCTCACTGTTTCTATTATGCTTTTCTTGTACTTTCTTCTCTTGCTTCGCGTGCTACACGGAATGTGGCGACTTGAACTTCCGCACATTTGTGCAAAGTTCTATGTCGAAAACAGACAGACAGACGCACAATATTTTGTGGATCCCGACCGTTAATAGTGAGTAAGAGAGTGAAAATCAAAATCAAGATTGAGTGGAATGTTAGGTATGTATGCAAGAGAACAAAACACGAAAGCACACTAACAAAACAACTATGGTTACCAGATGGAGTAGTTAGAGATAAAGACAGAGAGATTAGTGATAGTTTCTTTCTATATGCATAGGTGGGGTCACAGCCTTTTGATGATAGTGGCTTCTGTGACCCAAAGTAGCCATGCTTTTCTTTGATTATTGATTATTTTGAAACAGCGTGTCAATTAAATGTCTGGCGAGTTCGGTAAAATAGGTCTTTTCCCTAGCATGATTTGTTTGGCAGGCACTAGAGCTTTCACATCATCCGTACTTGTTTTATTGAACCTCTGAGGGTAACCATATGTTTCGCAACATCTTTTCAACAAGCCGAAATTCTTCCTCTAATTTCTCTATAGACCACATTATATTCTGTGCAAAATGTTGTTCTTGGCTTTATTCGAATTTAATATCATTTAGAGAACCATTTAAAATGAGTTCACCTTGTAGTTTTGATTGCCAGTGGGACGATGGGTGCGTATTACTGAAGAGTTTCAAACTACCATGAGACAACTGTCCAGTACTCCCTGGTCTTTAATCGTTCTCCCTAACTGATATTAATCTGTAACCAACCTTCAGATAAATCATATCTCTACAAACTAACACTTATTTAATTTCAGTTTGATTTTCGATTGAAATTTATAAATAATAGAGAAGTTTAATATACATATATAAATGCTTTCAAAGTCATCCACTTACTTCAATTTAATTTGTTTAAGTGTGTTATTGAATAAATCCCGCCAAATTGAAATATCTTTTGGTGATCCTTTAATCACAGTATTATTCTTATTATTACTATTATTATTATCATCACCAACAAAGAGATGATCATTATTCTCATTAATTGGTAGAAAATAACTTGATCTTTCTTTATCATCATTAATAGAAAATGTGAATGACCAGGATAATGGATAAATAGAATCACTTGGTGTTGTTCCTATCCTTGTGACATCCTCTTCAACCGTCTCCGAATCACTTCCAACCGATGATCCGGGAGACTCAGAGGTAGAAGAAGAAGAAGAAGAAGGGGAATTGGAGGAGGGTGAAGATGAAGATGGAGAGACAGAATCCCTGAGATGAAACATATCTGAATTAGTATTATTATTATCATATGATATAGAAAATCCAATTATATCTGAAATTTTATTCAAATGAAGCGTTTTCATTGACACTGATGAGGACTGATACAGATGGCTGGTCAGTTGGAAGGAGGTATTAGTATCTCCTACGATATTGCTATTATCATTGTTGAGTGGTAGTTTCTCGTGTTCTCCCTGTAAGCAAAAACCAAAAAAATAATAATAAGTGTGCACACACTTATAAGAGAAAAGAACAGAAATTTAGGATATAAACAAAATAAAAAAAACTGGAATCTTATGACTCCCCCCTGTAAATGAATGGTGAACATTGAACGTTGGTTCATTGGCCTTGGTCGCCGTTGGCGGGCAACTCGAAAGCGTGAATGATCTAATCGTGTACAAGTTGAAAGAAGACGAAAGAATACGAATAAAAGTACAATACATTCCTTGTAAAACACTTGTTTATAAACATTTTATCAATATTGATTTTAACCGCCGAACAATACGGGTTATTGCAAATACTGGTGTTTTGTAGTTGAAGTCGATAATCGATGATTGTAATTATCGATTCGGAGCGTCTTCGCAAATGATAGGAACTTAGGGTTAAGTTCCTTGACAGCTTTTATTCTTCTGTTCGTTTTCTGGAGCGCCTTCTGAAACTCTTTTGGAGAGTAGTTACTTGATCTGCCGCCAGCATCTTTGGACACGGATTATCGCAACACAATTTGGATCTTTTGGTGACGTTGAATGATGCCTGGGCCAAAGAAGGTACGTGGCACTTTGGAAGCAGACAGAAAAGTAAGTAATGCTGATTATTATTATTATTGTATCCTTTAGTTCCTAGAGGAACATAGGGCTTCAGCTGCGCACCTCCATTGACTTCGGTTTTCTGACAACTTTTTCACCCTGCTCCAGGTCTGCCCACATGCTTTCATCTCCTCTTCACATGACCTCCTCCAAGTCACCCTTGGACGACCAACTCGCCGCCTCCCTTTCGGGTTCCACTCGAGGGCTTGTCTAGTGATGTCACTTGATGGTTTCCTCAGCGTATGGCCAATCCATCTCCATTTCTTTCTGCCTATTTGTTTCACAATCGGTTCCTGATTGGTTCGCTCCCAGAGATCCCTGTTGCTGATCTTTTCTGGCCATCTGATCTTGAGTATTGAGCGGAGACAGTTGTTAATGAAGGTTTGAAGTTTGTTTGAGATGCTCTTTATGACTCGCCAAGTCTCTGATCCGTATAGTAGCACTGACTTCACATTGGAGTTGAAAATCCGGATCTTATTTTTGATGCTGAGTGCTGTTGACCTCCACACAGATTTGAGAGTAATGAAAGCTTGTCTTGCTTTTCCGATTCTGGCTTTGATGTCCTCGTCAGTTCCGCCTGTAGTTGAGACGATGCTTCCCAGGTAGGTGAAGGAGGTTGTTTCTTTCAGGTTCTTCCCATTTATGCTTATTGTGGTCTGTTGTTGCTGTTGATGTTGGCAAGGAATCTTCATCATCTCTGTTTTATCTATGTTCACGTGAAGTCCTATCTTTGATGCTTCTTCTGCCAACTTGTTACTTTTCACTTGCATATCTTCCAGTTTATGGGAAATCAGACATATATCATCGGCGAAATCCAGATCCTCCAAGTCTTTTGTGTCAGTCCATTTTATGCCTGTTCCCTCGTTGGTTGCCGTTGTCTGTCGCATTATCCAATCAATTGCAATCAGGAAGATCATTGGTGATAGTAGACAGCCTTGCCTCACTCCCGTCCTCACTTCGAAGGCTTCCGTAAGTTTCCCGTTGTGGATTACTTGGCATGCAGCATTGTCGTATAACTGTTGGATGAGGTGTATAATTGTCGATGGGACCCCGTAGTAGCGAAGTAGTTTCCAAATGACCTCTCGATCGACGCTGTCGAAGGCCTTTTCAAAGTCGATGAAGTTGAGATAGAGAGGTGACTGCCATTCCAAGCTTTGTTCAATGATGATCCGTAGAGTGGCGATTTGATCAATACATGATTTGTTTCTCCTGAATCCAGCCTGTTCCGGACGAAGTTTTTCATCTAGGGCTTGTTTGATTCTCTCCAGGATGATGCGACTTAGTATCTTGCTTGGAATGGACAGAAGCATAATTCCACGCCAGTTTTTACATTGACTTAAGTCTCCTTTCTTTGGAAGTTTGAATAAGTAACTGTTCTTCCAATCCTCGGGTACTTTGCCCTCTTTCCACACCTTCTCCAGTAGTGGTGTCATCAAGTCCGCTGTTGTCTCTGGGTCTATTTTCAAAGCCTCTGCTGGGATTCCATCTGGTCCCGGTGTTTTCCCAGTTTTAAGCATCTTGATTGCATTCAGGACTTCTGATTTCGTCGGGGGGTCAGTGTTCACTGGTAGTTCTGCTTCCGTTGTTGGTATTGCTGGACGTGTTGTAGGTGGCGGACGATTTAGAAGTCTTTTGAAGTGTTCAACCCAGTGCTTTCTCTGTTCCACCTCTTTGGTGATTGACTTTCCATTGTCGTCCTTTATTGGCTTAATCTGTGTCGAACGTTTGCCCGAAAGGTTCCTAGTTGTTTGGTAGAGTGTGGCGAGGTCTCCTTTGCCTGCAGCTTGTTCTGCTTCGTTTGCCATGGTTTCATAATATTTTCTTTTGTCTTCCCTGGCACTTTTCTTCACTCTTTTGTTCAGTGTATTGTAGCTTGCATTCAGCTCCTGTTTTTGTTGCTCGTCCGTGCACTGGATAATCTTTTGCTTCACTGTCCTTCTCTCTTCTATTAGTTTCCAAGTGTCCGTAGTGAGCCACTGTTTGTCCTGTCTCTTTTTTCTGCCTAGAATTTCTATGCAGGTTTGGCTCCACACCGTTTTCAAGTTGTTCCAGTGCTTTTCAACGCCGACCTCTTCGCTAGTGTTGATTTGTGTCTCGGCTTTGTCCTTTATGCTTGCAATGAAGATGTCCTTTGTAGCCTGGTCCTTCAGCTTTTGAGTGTTGAACTTGGCTTGTGGTCTATCTGCAGCTCCTGATTCCCTGAAAGCTTTTAATTTGATTTGGATTGTCCCTTGTACGAGATAGTGGTCTGAGCCAACGTCTGCTCCTCTTCTTGCTTTTGTGTCCAGTAGGCTGCGCCTCCACTTCCTTGAGATTGAGATGAAGTCGATTTGGTTTTTGGTTTGCCCGTCTGGTGACACCCATGTAGCCTTGTGGATATCTTTGTGCTTGTATACACTGCCACCAATCACCAGTTCGTTGAAGGCGCAGAAGTCGGCGAAGAGTTCTCCGTTTTCATTCATTTCTCCTAGAGCTTCTCTACCCATGATGAGTTCCCTTCCCGTATTGTCTGGTCCCAGTTTGGCGTTCATGTCTCCCATTAGTATTTTCATGTCGCCAGCTGGAGTATTGTCCATTGTTGCCTGTAGTTGCCTGTAGAATTCTTCTTTCTTCTCGAGGTCTGCGTTGTTTGTGGGTGCATAACATTGTATGATTGACACTTTCCTTCCTTTGGAGTTGAACCTGGCGGTCATTATCCTGGACGAAATCGCCTCCCATTGTATCAGGGCTTTCGTTGCCGTTGGTGACATCATGATAGCCACGCCCTCGGTGTGCGTGTGGTTATCTTCTGGGTGACCGGAGTAGATCACTGACTCACCTGTTGACAATTTGGTGAGTCCACTCCCATTCCATCTGCTCTCACATATTCCCAGCACTTGTATTCCGTATCTTTTCATCTCGTTGGCGATCTGGGCAGCTTTTCCAGTCTCGTACATAGTTCGAACGTTCCATGTTCCTACACAGACTTTTTCTTTTGGTGCAAGGAGGTTCAGCATACTGAAGATTCTGTAGCAATTTTTGTTTACAGGGTGGGGTTGCTAGCCTCACGCCTGAGAAAAGAATGATTACATTAAGTAAAAGTTTAGAGAGAAGCAACTTTTTGGGTTGCTCCCCTCAAAATCAGAAAATAACGGACAAACAATGAGAACAACATCAACAAAGGAAACAGTTCACAGAAAAAAGGGCAAAAAGCGACGACAACTATACAATAAGACAACATGCAATATAGTTCAGTACATTAACTAAAATGATATCTTAACCATAAACTCACTGACTTGGAGCAACTTGAACATATAAATCCAACAATATATACAATTATAGATGTGTTTATGTTTATGCTGAGTTGCTTGTTAATTGTAATTATATGTATGATGCTCAGCATGATGAGTCTGTTGTTCATGGTTCGCCGTTTAGGGATAGTAACGGTTTAAAGTTACCTAAATTCGAGCCTCGGAACTTTGATGGAAACCCAACCGACTATCCACAGTTTATCAAAGAGTTTGAGGTCATGTTGAGTGGTTTTTTATTAAATGATGAAATGAAGTTGATGTATTTGTTGAAGTACTGCACTGGAGTTGCTGCAAGAGCTATACAGTGCTGTGAGTTCATGCCCCCTAACGAAGGATATACGGAGGCGATGCGTATTCTCCGTCAAAGGTTTGGAAAACCTTCGATGATTGTAAGGAACGTATTCGAGGCTTTTAAAGGTAATGGTAGTCAATTACAAGATGACTCCAAGGCACTCACTGAGTATCTGGATAATCCAATGACCTACAAGAATACGTTGATTTCGATGAATTAATTGCATAAGTGATCTGAACTCAAGTTCAGTCCTAGAGGTAATAGCGAGACGCCTACCTACTCGACTGCAAAGGAAGTGGGTGAAGATGAGCTCCCGTATAGAGGATGAAGGTATTGAGCCAAAGTTTGGTGATATTCTGAAACTGGTAAAAGGTAGTGTCAATTTATCTATGAGCAAGTTTGCCAGTATATTGCATCCCACCCCTAGAATAGAGCAGTCTGAGACCAAAACGCAATCATTTATGACGAAAGGGCTTCAGAGAAGCGGATATCGAGAAAGCTTTATGGTGTCTAGTAATGCATATAAACTTAATGAGTGTAACAGCTTTCGTGGGACATCTCCAACAGATAGGTTACAAGTTGAGAGACAAACACAGTTGTGTTTTACACGTTTGCAAGAAGTGCATACAAAGGCAAACTGTGAAGCAGTGAGCAAGTTTAGTAGTAAGCTAAACGCGAAGTCAGCGTCATCAATTTGTGACTCCGAATTGTGTGACGATAATGGTGCAGTGAAGAAGCCTGTAGTTGCAACTGGTAAGCCATTGTTGAATAGAGTATCACGGAGGACACCACAATTTGTGCAGGAGAAGAGAGTTGCAGTTTCAGAGTCTAGTTCTGACTCCACAGGTTAACAAGGTATTACTAGTCAGAATGAAGGTATAAAACCTCTAAGGATTTGTGAGGAAGAACCTAAATTATCTACTGCTGTTATTAAAGAGTTTGAAAGTGATGAATTCAACCAGATAGACGATGGTAAAGTGAATATTTGTGATAATGATCATGACAGTGCACTTTTGTCTATGGTTGATCATGATGAGATAAGGGGAATGCCTACTACTACTGAGTCGAACAAAGGTTCTGTACAATTTGAACGTGAAGTAGAACTAAAGGCAGATGAGGTGGCAGAAAGTATGGATGCTTATGAAACCCTCAGTGCGAATGATCAGCGTGTAGCCCACCTATCGACTGATGTTAATGCTAAACTGGGGCTAATCATAAAAGGTAGCAGTGGTGGTAATCTTGTAGTTAGACAACCTTCTAAAGGTCGAACAGCGACAGCTTTTGATGCACTGCTAAGTTCATGAACTTGCAGCACTCAGTCTTCGTTGGGGCTGTCATCCACAATGAAGGTGACGTCCATTAACTCATGTGTCTTGTGCTGTAAGTATGCTAGTATCGGTTCGTTTGAAAGGACGAAGGTCAATAGCCGGTTTACTGATAATAAGCCAACTGTGCATGAGAGGGTAATTGTTAAACTGACTTGCACGAATAAAGGCCTTTCAAGTTGCAAGTTACTATTTGAATGTTATTATCTTTGGTGTAAATTACTCTGTGCCTTCGCTTGGTTGGTCAGATATGTCATATGTTTATGTTATCATGACTACTTTCACAATTATTTTTATTTTGCCTTTGACCTTTTCTGATCTTCCTAATGAATTTTATAGGATAGTTATTTGATACCAACACCTCTCCTATCTGTTTTATTTCATCATTTAGGTTTTTTCTCGTACTATTTAGTGCTACTGCTCGGTTTGTTAGACAGACACTTGACTAAGCCAGCCTTCACAGACAGATAACGACGGATGAGATGAATTAAGGTATAAATATCTATTAGCAGAATGCTTTGGTTATTTATAAACGCCGCTAGTGTATAGTTTACCTTCGTACCATCGAAGCCCAGTGTTCTACTAAGAACTTAATGGAATATTAATAATAAATAATAACACTATATTCATCGTGCACAATTAAACACTGCTTCCTCTGCATAAACCGTAAAATAAACAGGTATAATGTTGATATAAACTCACATTGCTTTTCGTATTCATTATTGATAGAGCTGCATTGAACGAATCTGTAGAAGAGATGAAAGGCAAAAAAAGGAAAAACAAAAATTAAAACCAGGCCATTTGATCACAATCTTTCTTGTTACAAGCATAGCAGAATTACTGCATCTATTAGACAAGTGCTGAGAAGACATTCAAATAAATCCGAATAGAAGGTAAGGCAACGAGTTCCGCATGGGAGTGACACACAGACAGAAGATCATCTGTGAAGAGGAAATGAAAATTTGTATGTAGTCGTGGAGTCAGCTGAAAGTGGTTGCAGAGAATCGAGTATAGAGTGAAGATGTTCTACTCAAAGCATGACAAATGTGTAATAATCGTTTCGACAAAGATTCAAATCCCACTAAAGTCACTTCAATCGCCAAGCAATCACTGCGACTGATATCCAAGTTCACCTAGAAAATCCTTTTCAAGACGCGCCTCAGTTCTAGATTCGAACTATATTATTATTAGTACTAGTATCCCATTAGGTTCCGGGTGGAACTAAGGCTTGAAATAGAACACGCCGATTTCATCCAGATCTCAGCAATCGTCTTTAGCTGTCTTCATGATCACCTATAAGCACCTATCTCTTTCTTTTACGATCTCCTCCACGTCATTTTTAGACATCCAACATATCGTTTTCCACTGGACGATCTGGCGCGTGGTATCACTCAATAGTCTCTTCAGTGTGTGTTCTATCCAACTCAATTTACTTCGCAATATTTTTTGGTATATAGCTTCTTAGTTGTTTCTCTATAAGAGTTCTTAGTCGAAATTGTAACCAACACACTGGATTCTTATTTCATGGATGTTGTGACCGCTAGCAGTAGAAAACAGTAAGTGAGTTTCGCTTTATTTCAGACTCCCAGAACCCATCACTGCAAACGTCAGTCAAAAACATCCAACAAGAATTACATATATGCATTCTCCTTTGCATTCCGAGTCGAGCATAGAACTTCAAGTTTGAACTTTGAAAGTTTCAATTACACTCAACCTTCCTTCTTTGTCAGCTTTACTATTGGCTAAACGAAGTTAAAGAGTATGTCAGCTAGGAATCGAACCTCTGACGAACACCTGTGCGGTTGGCGGGTATTCTCCTACCACTAAACTACATAGACAAAGCAAAAACATACAAAATAATGCTAAATGTTAGATTTTCCCGTCGATTGATTGAACAGAAGTGCTCGGTGTCAGGTTGACATGTCTGTTGGCTTCTTGTGCAGATGCTTCGACGATGTCTGGTCATTTGATTGCAATTTAATTGGTGAATGGTGACTAGCAGAGGAATCGAGGATGCACATGTGGTATAGTGGATAACGCTTTGGCGTTTGAAACTATGGGAACTGGGTTCGAGCCTCGGTGGGAACATCATCACTCACTGCGGAATTCAGGCGTATCCGGCTGGCAAGTCCCAAATAAGACGAAACGCGCTTTATCCTGAATTCCACTGCTAGTCGCCATCCACCGATAAACTTCTAGTGGTGAATGGATTATCGTAGATGTATTCCAATACTAATTTATGCTTGGTCAAATATAATAAACCAGGATACCTTCGCTACATATTATTATTATTATGTAATCTTCCTGTTGTATACTGCTGGTTAATTAATGTAAGTTTCACTGTTAAGCCAGCTACCAAAACTACTCGAATCGTCTGCTAAACTTACGACAAATAACTAATTATCTTCCGTGTCAGCTGTAATTGATTATGCTATCATATTTTAATGTACCACTGGCTCCTTAAACTATGATCTTCATGACTAACTTCCACTCAGTGTGCGTTCGTCAGTGTCATTGATTCAACACTAAGAATACTGGTCAACCACACAGCGTGTGGCCCAACATTCAATCCCCGGTTCACGCATTACTAAACTTAACCTAGACGGAGTAGTAATCCCATAAAAGGCAAAAGGTCGGATGAGAGGATGACAATTCTCCCTACCCATCAACCCGCCCGCACTCCAGTAAAATAAACACCGCCAGTGTGTTATTAAAACTTCAAAGCTTAAAGTTTGAAGCCAGATTTTCCTCTGGGAAGGCAAAGAAATCTTAATGCAGTTGGAGAAAACCTGCGAAACCAAGACAGCACTAGAGACAGCTGTTTCTTCCTGGTTTGGGACTCTCCAGCAGCGCGTGCCTACATCCCCGCCAAAAGGAGTCGATCCTGAAGTCTTCAGGTTACGAGACCAAGCTCATTGATGACTATTCAGTATTCAATAAGCCAGAACACCATGACCTGTGAATTCTAACTTCTGTCGATTCACGATATGTGAAGGCGTTGGACACAACCGACACCATAGATGAGCATCTACCCTGATAGGATCCCACACATTTTGGTATTGACTGTTAATCTCGCATATATGGTATATCATCATTCCCACACATTTTGTTATTGACTGTTAATCTCACATAGATGGTATATTATCATTTCTCACGCACTTTGTTATTGACTATTACGATCAATTATTTCAAATGCTGTTGGCTGTCTATATTGTTGTAAAATGTATAAATACCATGACTTTCTTTGTCGTTGTTGTTGTACTACAATACACAGTCACAGTCCAGTCTTTGTCTTTTGATATTTGCGTGCTTCACTGAATCGGAAGGTACCACAAGCAGATAGGCATATTAGTCAGGCGCAGACAGAACAAGGCGACAACGTCCTCATTTAATTCCCCACAGTTATAACAAATTGGCGACGGGGTTTAACCTTAATTCATTGCAGTTATAACAATTCATGCAGTTATAGCAAGCAAACGACGACAGTTTTTATTCTGTTCAGCGCAGCTATAGAACATTTTTGACTGTGTTAATTACAACCCAATTACAATGTCTATCTCTCTGGACGATCTCAAATCTATCTTGCAGCAGCAGCAAGTTCAGAATGAAGCAGCTCAACTAAAATTAATCGAAGCTCTCACTCAGAAGCTGTCCATTCAAGTTCCATCAACATCTCATTCAGACAAATATGAAAGCATCTCAAATTCCATTAGTGAGTTCAACTACGACCCAATATCTGGTCTCGTATTTGATGCATGGTTCAATCGTTACGAAGACGTCTTCCGTATTGAATGCTACATGTTTGATGATGCTGCCAAAGTCCGATTGTTACTAAGAAAACTTGGTACTGTTGAGCACAACAGATATGTTAACTTCATTCTGCCCAAGAACCCACGTGAGTTATCATTCGATGAGACAGTCACTGTTTTATCACAAATCTTTGGTGAACAGTCATCCATGTTTAATATTCGGTATCAATGGTTTCAGTTGACAAAAATGCCTTCCGATGATTATGTCACTTACGCTGGCAAAGTGAACAAGGAATGTGAAAGGTTCAAACCACACGAAATGACATCAGATCAGTTCAAGTGTTTGATTTTTATTTGTGGGTTGAAGAACCCAGAAGATACTGACATACGAACTCGACTTCTGTCACTTGTGGAACAAGACCCGAAAATGACCTTACAAATGGTGACAGCAGAATGCCTACGTTTAATCAACTTGAAGCACGATACTGCTATGGTGGAGTGCAAACGACAGTCGTCTGAATGTGGTTCGATTAACACAGTGAAAAGTCCTCCGATCACCGTTAAGCACACAGCACGTCAGTCTCAAAATTCAGCTAAACCTCCTTCAGTGTGCTGGCACTGTGGTTCGTGGCATTTTGTCAAGTTCTGTCCTTTCAAGAAACATAAATGCCGTAATTGTCACCGTTTTGGACATAAGGAGGGTTACTGTCCACCGCAGAAAAATCTTCGGTGAGGAACAGAAGTAGTCGTTTCAAGCCGAAACAATCTCCTCGAGTACAGACCATTTTCACAACTTCCAAAGTCGATTTTGCCAGCAAACGTAAGTACATTACACTAGGTATTAACGGCAAACATATTCGTCTTCAGTTGGATACGGCATCAGATATTACCTTAATTTCCCGAACTACGTGGCGCAAACTTGGTGCCCACAGATTCTGCCGACCGAGCATGTCGCCAAGAATGCCTCTGGAGATATACTGAAACTCGTGGGTGAGATAAATTGCCAGGTTCAGTTTGGTGAGCATCAGTTCAATGGTGTATGTTACGTCACAAACTACCATGATTTGAATTTGCTTGGTCTTGACTGGTTAGACAAGCTCCATATCTTCAATGTACCATTAATTTCAGTATGCTCTAATGTTTCGTCCTCACCACACAACGTTATTCCCGGACATGTATCTGATCAATCTCTCTTGCAACGCCTGCGTCAAAAGCACGCTTCTGTCTTCCAGGACAAACTTGGTTGCTGCAAACTGTCTGGCATCCAGCATATTCGTAGCCCCCCGTATCATCCCCAATCGAATGGACAGGCTGAACGTTTCGTCGACACCTTTAAGCGTGCTTATGCAAAAGCAAAGGGGGAGGGAACAACAGAAGAAATTTTGGATAAATTCTTGCTGCATTATCGTACGACGCCAAATCCTTCGGCCCCAAATCAGTTATCCCCAGCGGAAATTATGTTTGGCCGGAAGATCAGAACTGCCCTCGACTCAATTAAGCCTAGGCAAGTAAAGCAGGGCTGCAGAAATACAAAAATGGAAAACCAATTCAATCGCCATCACGGAGCTAAACGTCGAGTTTTCAAATTGTATCAGCAAGTTTATGTACGAGATTTTCGCTATTCACCTCCGAGATGGATTCGGCGACAAATAGTGGGGCAGAAAGGAAGGGTTTTATACAAAGTGAATGTAGAAGGACAGTTATGTGTCAGACACACGAATCATATACGAGATGCGTCAGATAGACCCGACAATGGGAGACGAGACCTCACGTTAGAAGTATTAGTAGATACATTAATTCTTCCGCAGCCGGAAGCCCGGGACACAGATCAAACTCTATCCAGTACCACGCGAAGGTCAACTCGACAAAGAAGAGCTCCGAAACCTTTTCAGATAGATCCAAAAAGCAAGTCCTACACTTTTTACGGGGAGAGGTGATAGGATCCCACACATTTTGTTATTGACTGTTAATCTCACATAGATGGTATATTATCATTT